AGGGATAGAAGGAACATGCCTAAACATAATAAAGGCAATATACAGCAAGCCAATGGCCAATATCAAACTAAATGGAAACTCCCAGCGATTCCACTGAAATCAGGAACAAGACAAGGCTGTCCACTCTATATCTATTTAATATAGCTCTTGCCATCCTAGCTAGAGCAATAAGACACCAAAAGGAGATCAAGGGGATACAAATAAGAAAAGAAGAAGTCAAACTCTCACTGTTTGCTGATGATATGATAGTTTACATAAGTGGTCCCCAAAATTCTACCAAGAAACTTCTACAATTTATAAACACTTTCAGTAATGTAACAGGATACAAGATTAACTAAAAAAAAAAAAAATCAGTAGCCCTCCTGTACACAGATGATAAAAGGGCTGGGGAAGAAATCAGAGCATCAACACCCTTCACAATAGCCACAAATAGCATAAAATANACAAAATAACTTCTACAACTCATGAACACCTTGAGTAATGTAGCAGGATACAAGATTAACTAAAAAAAAAGGGGGGGTGGAAAAGAATCAGAGAAACAACACCCTTCACAATAGACACAAATTGCATAAATATCTTGGAGTAACTCTAACCAAACAATTGGAAGACTTGTATGACAAGAACTTTAAATCTTTGAAGAAAGAAATTGAAGAAGACACCAGAAAGTGGAAAGATCTCCCATGCTCTTGGATAGGCAGAATTAACATAGTAAAAATGGCAATCTTACCAAAAGCAATCTACTGATTCAATGCAATGCCCATCAAAATCTCAGCAAAATTCTTCATGGGCCTTGAAAGAATAATAATCAACTTCAGATGAAAAAGCAAAAAATCCAGGATAGCCAAAACAATCCTGTACAAAAAAAAAGAACTTCTGGAGGCATCACAATCCCTGACTTCAAACTCTACTACAGAGCTACAGTACTGAAAAAAGCCTGGTATTGGCATAAGAACAGACAGGAGGACTAATGAAATCGAATAGAAGATCCGCATATCAATCCACACATCTTCGAACACCTGATTTTTGACAAAAAGCAAACAATATCAAATGGAAAAAAGAAAACATATTTAACAAGTGGTGCTGGCATAACTGGATATCAACATGTAGAAGAATGAAAATAGATCCATATCTATCACCATGCACAAAACTCAAGTCCCAATGGATCAAAGACCTCAACATAAAGCCAGCCACACTGAACCTTATAGAAGAGAAAGTGGGAAATATACTTGAACTCATTGGCACAGTAGACCCCTTCCTAAATAGAACCCCAGCAGCATAGACACTGAGAGAAACAATTAATAAACGGTACCTCCTGAAACTGAGAAGCTTCTGTAAAGCAAAGGACACGGTCAACAAGATAAAACGACAGCCTACAGAATGGGAAAAGATCTTCACTAACCCCACATCAGACAGAAGTCTGATCTCCAAAATATATAAAGAATTCAAGAAATTGATCACCAAAAGAACACATAATTCAATTAAAAAAAACGGAGTACAGACCTAAACAGAGAACTCTCAACAGAAGAATCTAAAATGGCTAAAAGACACTTAAGGAAATGTTCAACATCCTTAAGTCATCAGAGAAATGCAAATCAAAAAAACTGAGATTCCATCTCACACCTGTAAGAATGGCCAAGATCAAGAATACTGATGACAACTTATGCTGGAGAGGTTGTGGGGAAAAGGGAACACCTCTGCAAGCTGGTACAGCCCCTTTGGATATCAGTGTAGTGATTTCTTAAAAAATTAGGAAACAACCTTCCTCAAGACCCAGTAATATCACTTTTGGGTATATATCCAAAGGATGCTCAATCGTGCCACAAGGGCATGTGCTCAGCTATGTTCATAGCTGCTTTGTTTGTCATAGCCAGAACGTGGAAACAACCTAAATGTCCCATGATTGAAGAGTGGATAAGGAAAATGTGGTCATTTACCCAATTGGAGTACTACATAACAGAAAAAAATCTTGACATCTTAAATTTTGCAGGAAAATGGATGGAGCTAGAAAACATTATTTTGAGTGAGGTAACCCAGACACAGAAAGACAATTATCACATGTATTCACTCATAGGTGGTTTTAAAACATAAAGCAAAGAAAGCCAGCCTACAAACCACAATCCCAGAGAACTTAGACAATGAGGACACTAAGAGAGACTTACATAGATCTAATCTGTATCGGAAGTAGAAAGTAGAAAAAGACAAATAGAAGAAGAAGAAGGAGGAGGAGGAGGAGGAGGAGGAGGAGGAGGAGGAGGAGGAGGAGGAGGAGGAGGAGGAGGAGGAGGAGGAGAAGAAGAAGAAGAAGAAGAAGAAGAAGAAGAAGAAGAAGAAGAAGAAGAAGAAGAAGAAGAAAACTATAAGTCCTTATCTGTTAGAGAGGGCTGGAAAAGCCATAAGAATTAATGTGAGCTAGATGCAGGCACACTGTAAAAGGAAAGAAAGATGGGGTAGATGACACAAGCTCAGTCATGGTAAGGTTGAGAGCAGGAGGTTGGTGAGCCAGAATGCTGGTCCCCTAAAGTCACTTTCCTTCTTGCTCTCCCCTTACTCAGTAGACATAGCCTACCCTGAAAACAGCTCTCAACTTCTGCCCCATGCCAGCCTCCTATTCAGGAGAGCAAAGGGAAGCTTCAATTAGGGCAGAGCCAATGCACCTTTCCAGGGTATGAGCACACCTTTGCTGTCCTTGGTGGAAGCAAGCATACCTTTAGTATGGTACCTGCCATGCAGGACCAAAGACTCAGGACTTGTCAGCAGACTCTTGCTGCTGCTGCTGATAGAGTTCTCCAGGGCTGTGTTTCCTATCAGAGCAACAAGGTCAATAAATACTTGTTATGTCACACTTCTTGCTGCTACCAGACCTTATCATGGGATATAAAAGTGCACCAATACTAAACCTCTCTCCTAGCTTTTCAACTTGTCATGAAGACAGAAACTTCAATCACTCAGCTATCATTCAACCACTCCAGGGTCAGCTTTATAGCAATCTTTCGTGTACTTTGAAGTATGATGATCTTCAATATTACAATCACCAAAATAATTTTAAACAAACAACAACAGAAGCCAGATAACAACATGGTAGCACCAGGTTTAAAAACCATCCTATTCTGAGTTTTTTGAATGTCATTTTCTTTAGCAAAAGACATAATTTGCAGTCAGGATGAATAAAGTGAGCCAGCCATTTCTTTCTTAATGGCCAACTACCCAAAAAGGCTCAGTTAAGTGATCTCAACTAGCAACTAATCAATTAAAATTGATAAGTGAAATACTTTTAACCTTTATTTCAGCAGGGTCCTTCCTTGGGGAAGGAGCAAAGGAATGTAAATTCCCAGCATAAATTTAATTCCATTTCAGATACAACATTGTGAGGGGACTTCTCCCTCTCTGCACGGATCAAATCAGAAAGACGGGTCCTTAATCAATTCTAGCCTTATAGAAATCACTGTTGCTGCTTTTCAGGGTAAAGGGTCAAAGGAGACAGGCAAATTTCTTTATTTCTCTAACACACGGGGAGATAAAAGCACAAACAAGAGAAATGCCAGGAAAAGAAAAAAGAACCAGTGAGGTCCTTTTCCACCTACATCCTGGTCACTCAGTCAGAGGTGCCCACATGCTGGGCATCCTGGTGCTCTACAGGAGGTAGAACTCTCCAGTGTGCTGAACCACTAGTTTCTCAGATTAGCGTTAGGTTGTGGCTGTGGCTTCCAAGGCATCTCTCAACCAGTCACCAAAGCAAAACTCGCCATCTCTCTACCTTTTTCCTTCTCAAGTAGTAAGAACAGAAGCTGGAGCCTTGTGTATGTGAAGCAAGGCTTTCCAAGAGTCCTATACCTGTAACCACTCCCATTTCCCCCCCTGAGATAGGGTTCCTCTGTGTGGCCCTTACTGTCCTAGAACTTGCTCTGCAGACCACGGGTGGGGGTGGGGTGAGGGTCTTGAACTCAGAGATCTGCTGCCTGCCAAGTGTTGGGACTAAAGGCATGTGCCAAAATGCACAGCAACCATCCCCATTTTATAGCAGGAAAAACAAAGGCTGTGGTAGAGGAGAAAGAGTAAGGCAGAGCTGGCTTGAAAGCTAACACTCAATGGTTTAGCCATGTGAAACCAGCTCACATGACTAAAACTCACTGCACTATATACACTGAAGGTTGGAGGAATTTATTTTATATAAATTATGCATCAGAAAAGATGTTTTGAATAGTCGGACTACAGAATGGTACCTGCTTCTTCTGTTTGCCTACTCTATGCCTCTTCTTTGAGAGTATCCTCTTTGGTCTCCTTCCTCATACTTAGGATTCAGAATTAACCCTATGTCTTTAGCAGAGGCTCCTGATAGTTCATTGACCATTGTGTGGTTTGAAGAAAGCCCACTGTCCAATCTGGGCCACTGAGAGCTGTGTAAGAAAGCAGATGGAGCAAGTCATGAGGAACAAAGAAGCAATAAGCAGTACTCCTCCATGGCTTCTGTTTCAGTTCCGGCCTTAAGTTCCTGCCCTGACTTCCTTCAATGATAAACTGTGATGTAGTAATAACCCAAGTTATTATTGGTCACCATGTTTTATTACAGCAATAGAAACTCTCACTAAGACAATGGTCAATACAGTTTAAGGTTATGGGCTAAGCACATATCTTTCTGATTTGCAAAGTCCCCATTCTTACCTAAACACTGGTGACTTGTTTGGGGGTTTGTTGTGTCTTTTCATTTTGATAGTTTGATTTTTACAGACTTCCTTTTGGCATCAAGAGACTCCTTGTTCTACTGGACTCAGACAAAAGTCCTTTAAATCCACAATACTAGAAAGGCCAGTGCTGCCCTCATCCTGTCAATGAGGGCCTACTCTCACTGGACCTCCTATTGTCTAGCACTAACCTTTCAGCAGGGTCAGTGGCAGGCAGTAGAGACTGCATGCTGTGCATACTCCCACCCCTGCTGCAGATGATCAGTAGAGTAGTGTCCTGTACCCCCTGGCCCACGGGGCAACACAAGATGGCCAACTCACTCAGATCCAAGACATCATCTGTTTTGATCAGGTCCTCCTCCCGAGTCAGTGGCAATTGGGTCTCAGGTTCCCCACGCAGCTGCAGTGACAGGGAACGCAGCATGAAGAATACCCGGATGGCCTGGACAGAGCAGACAAAGAGGAGAGTAGGGTTCCAGGAGGGTTCTGGAGAGGTGCATTGAATGACGGCATTTCATGGTGACTCTTGGTTAATGGGGAAAAAGGAGGGGGCAAAACATGGGCCAGCCTTGAAGTACAGTGGCCTGGAAAGAATAAGAGGACACTTTAGGCTTGGGGAGCAGCCTACTTCAGTCCACAATAGGTGAAGGCCCAGGCCACTTTACCAGGCACCTGCCATTTGCCAGGACCTGTCCCCAAGGGTTGTATGACCTTTAACACACATCTTCTGCCTGCTGGCTTGCCCATTCCATAGGGAGGTGAGGAGTGCTGCCCGAGACAGTGCTTCAAGGAAGGGCTACCACCTCTGTGCTTCTCCATCTGAGCTAGTGGGGCTGGGAGACAGAAATCACCAGGATGTGTGCCAGTCCAATCTAGTAAATATGGGCACAGGACAAGAGGGTAACATGCATGTAAGCTTTAGATTTGGCTAGACTCACTGAAAGTCCAACTCCCATCTTAAGTCTTCCACCTCTTGGGCCTGGGCCTTAGGAGGAGGAGAGTGACAGAGACAGGAGAGTAAGGCCTGATACCTGGCCAAATGGACAGCAATGTCCTCAGGACCCCTCAGGCTTTCCCAGTTCATCTCAGGGGCAGAGAATGCTTGTCAGCACAAGCACCCTGTCCCATGGAAAAGGGGTCTGTCAGCATCCAGTATGGCCACCAGGCATGTCCTGAGAGCAGAGAAAAGGCCATGTCACCAGCTGCCAGTGACATCTGTGCAGAAGCAGCCCTTAGCCCCAGAATCACACTAGCCACTAACTAGAGAACCCAGAAGCACAGGGCAAGCCACAGGTCAGGGTACCCCTTGTCCCAGGTCTCTCCCTGACATGGAATGGTGGGCTCCTTTGGGACACAGCTCCAGAGCAAACAGACAAGGTCAGCAGTGCCCTTTACTCTACTGTGGTGGATAAGACACAGTAACCCCTAACTCTTTGGCTATGTTACCACCCTGAGACAAGGCTGGAGGGCACAGTCAGCACAGACTTGCAGAAAGAGGTTGCCTTCAGACCCTTGGTAGATACCACTACCTACATAAAGGAGTGTCAGGGCAAACCATTGTGGCTTCACGCAGGTGAATTCCTGCTTGTGGTAAAGGTGGTGACAGTCCTGTGTTAAATAAAGGGAGAATACCCTTTTTTTTTTTTTTTTTTGCAGGGAACTTTCAATAAAAGAGAGGGGACAAAGTCTCGCCTTCAAGCATCTGGAGAGGCATTGCATCCTGGTGGCCCATGCAGTGAGTATCTCTGATTAGCTACCAATGCCCCGATCCTGCCTTAAGGCAGGATACTTGTGTAGAAATTCTGAAAGTCCTGGCCTCATCTTAAGAAACACAGCCTTCAGAGTTTTAGAGTGGCGTGCAGGATAAAGCAGTTCCCCACCACGCTGGTGGGGGTGCATAAGAATCTAATCTAAATGTTCTTAGCAGATTTTCAAGTCTAGTTTTCATAGAGACATCTGCATCAACTGGGAGAAACAGAGATGTGGTTCTATTAAAAAAAAATCAAGAGCTCCTATCTAGTAAGCACCTACTATGTGCTGGGCTTTTGGGGTTATGTATCATAAATTTAGGACTACAGGAGCAAGAATGGGTGCTGAGAGGGCAGAGTAAGCTTGGCCCACTTGCTAAGAGGTTGAACTGAGCCTCTGTAATGTCAGGCACATATAACATAGCATAGTCCCATTCCTGTGCCAGCCCAGAGCAGATGGTAATAAAATGTGAAGGGAGAAGTGAGTGCCACTGGGATTATCTGACAGTGTGAGCTCTCAAGTAAGTAGTTACAATTTAGGGAAGAGGAGAAAGAAGGGGCCTACTGTAGGCATGTCCCTGTCATGGGCAAGACTTATGACTGTGTCAAGTACATTGCACAGGGTTCTGATGGCAGACTCCTAGCAAGGCCATGGTTAAGATGGGGAAATAGAAATCCATGCTGTTTTATGTAGTCTATCCCTTGAAAGACTGAGGTTTTCAAAGGAATCGATGAGTTGGGAATTTGGCTCTCAATGTAGGCCTTTTGGTAAAACTGTGTCTTTGCTCTACAAATATTGAATGGTGATATTCTCAGGAATACAAATAAAAAATAAAGCCATTTAAAATATAAAATATAAAATACCATTTCAAATAGCAATTTTCAAGGGAAAAGCACACACACGAGAAGTCCATGTCCAATGACAAAAGAGGTGAGTCTTACAGGGCAAGGTGCTCCTCACTGCAAAAGTGGGCTCCCAAGATGGCTGCACACACAGGCTGGCAGGCATGCTGTCCTGTTCCATGGTCCCTTCCTGCCAGTACCCTGCAGACATTAACAGCTTCCTCTCACCACTCACAGCCATTGGGCATTGTGGGGGGCCAAGAGCATCACCTCATTTGCTTCCCCTTTTTATTGAGACAAGGTCTCTCTCTATAGCCCTGGAACTTACTCTGTAGACCAGGCTGGCCTTGAACTCACAGAGATTCATCTGCCTGTGTCACTTGAGTGCAGGGGTTAAGGGTGTGCACCACCATGCCCAGCCTATCATTTGAGCTTCTTAATGACCCTGGTGGCTCCTATCTGACAGAGAAACTGGAGCCCAGGGCTGTTAGACTGGCTGCTCAGGGGAGCTCCAAGCCTGTGTTCTTCTGACTACATTTCTTGGTCTTTAAAAGATTCAGGGCTTGGGACCTGGATTTCTATCAAGTGATCTTCTTTTCTTTGCTAAATCAAGACACAAAATTTTAAAGTCATAACCAAAAAGAGTAAGAATGATTACTGTTTCAGATCCTGGAAGGCAGAAGATCAAATTTCAAAAGGGAAGGCAGTTGACCGAGTTCTAATGTGAAGAAGAAACTTTCATTTCTTAGCTTCTGTGAATCTGGAAGCTAACCTTAGTCATATTCAGTATTTGGAGAACCAGGCTTTGGAGGGGAAGGTCTGGAGTCAGAAGGATCTCAGCTCCAAGTGGGGCTGAGTGAGCACAGGAACTCCCTAAGGCTAGAGCTCTGGGGAGAGGTGCATGAGTCCCCAGTGAGGGTGCACCATGGCACAAGTGGTAGTCTGAGCCTTGGGCTGGCCCTGGGACAGGCGCTCAGTTCACCTCTGCTGGCTTCCTTGCCACATTTGCAAGCTGCTGGGGTTAGGAGACAGTCATTCAGGTTAGAAGCCCACCAGGGCCGCAGAAACAGCTGTGGAAGTCAGTCATCCTGAACAAGATTGAAGCAGGGTGATGTGGGCCCAGCCCAGAGGGAAAGCAAGTGGTGATGTTAGAGATGTACAAAAAACATCCATACCCTTTGAACCAGAAATTCTGCTTCTGGGAACTTCTCCTAAAGAAATAATTCAAAAGAAAGAAAACACTATGTTCATGAAGTAGCTCTTATAGTTTAGCTGACAAAAAAGTAGAACATAGCGGAAGTACCCCACTCTGGCTAATGAGAAGACACCCCAGGAACGGGGCAAAGTCTCCTGGGAAATCTTTATATAGTTCTGAGGAGTCACTTACAAAACCATCAGACAGGTGAGGCAGAAGAAGGAGAGTCAGAAGTTTAAGGTTATCCTTGGCTATAAAGTGAGCTCAAGGACAGCCTGAGCTATGTGAGACCTGTCTACAAAATAAACAAAGAAAAATAAAACCTCCATTGTGGGCCGGAGGTGACGTCACTGGTAGCATGCACAAGGCTCTGAGACTCCACTACAATAGGAGAACTTGTACTACAACAGAGAAGGGAGAAACAGATGGTGAGAGTGAGACTGAGGAGAGACACCCTGTGCCAGTGTAAGAGGATGAGTTGTAGACAAAGAAAGGAGGAGAAGCAAAAAATGTCTGCAAATGTTGAAATTATGGAAAAAATTTCCTTCCTGCAAATGTTGAGACGTGCTTGAACTTTCTTCAGTGTGTAACACATAGCCAAAGAATGAAGCAGAAGTGTCCCATTTCCTCGAGGTTAATAGTGACAAACACAAAACTGCTGTTCTTTACAGAAAACAGAATGAGGGGACACATCTAAAACCCCAGATATCTGGGAGGCTGAAGTAGGAGGATCGTAAATTTGGAGACAATGTCTAAACAAAGTTTAGACAGCAGGCAGAACACTCACTGAGCGTGTCCACTGCCCTCAGGCAGAACACTCAATGAGCGTGTCCACTGCCCTGGTTCCATCCCTGGTACAAAAACAAAACTTCAGCACAAGAACCTCTGCTTCATACTGGCTTCCCAGATAGTATATGAAGATGGCTACTGCTTCAATTCAGATTTTAATGTCTGCTGGAGCCCCTGCTGGCTCTTTTCCTCTGTACGAGTTTAGCAGGGACTGTGAGTAAAGCCCTCTTGGTCATCAAAGACACCAACACACTCCACTGTAGTTCCACCAATGTCCTCTCAGTGTTTACTCTGCCAGAAACTCTACAGCCATTGCGTCAGCCATTCCAGACAAAAGCTGAGGGGGGCACAGGAGAACTTTAGGCTCAGGGAAGTTAAGTAATGCTCCCAAGGTCACACAGAATAGGGCTTAACCTCTGTGGGCCTGACTCATGAACCTGTAGTTTTTCTTAGCCACTTCTTCCAACTGCCCCTCCATGAGTGGGAATAGCCCAAATTCCAAGTTTCGATTCATTCATTTTCCCTGGGCCCTAAGAACTCTGATGACTTTTATTTCAGCATGGCTGGCATGACTCAGGGGCACTTTTGGTATTTTTGGTCTTATACTAAAAAAAAAAAAAAATGTATTGTGTGCACTTGTGGAGGTCAGAGGACAGTTTGCAGGAGTCTGTGGTTTGCTTAGGGGACTGGGAATGTGTGTTGCCTAAAGATACAAGGTCCCCACTTCCTCTGCTGCCCCTGAACATGTGATTAAAGGTACCAGCAGGGTGAAGGAGGTTGCAGAGGCCTCTTGTCTGAGGCACATCCCACTTTATGTGCTTCCTGAAATTCTGAAGTGAAACCCCTCTGATGCTCTGGCCACAAGCAGACCAAGGAAGAAGATGTGGTAGTCATCTGGATGCCTCTAAATGATCTATTCATAGTCACGTCTCCAGGGAATGATTTTCTAGGAAAAGGCAGTGTTGCTTTCTAAGAAAGAAACTGAGATCTTACGCAGGAGATAAAATACTGTGAAGAGCCCGACTGAGGCTGCTTCCTAGAGTGGCCACCTCAGAAAAAAGTGCTGATAAGGGGATCACCCTCTGCTGCTTCTGAGAACTTGGCTCTGCACACACGTTCTCCTGCCTCCTGGCCAGCATCATGCTCTCACTACCAGACACCTTGCTAGTATACTGCCTGGGTTTCTAAGACCTTGAAGTCGAGGTTCACATCCACCTCCCCTATACTGGGTGTTCTAGGTTCTGCTCCGCTATACTTCAAAGAAACTTGGTGTGGCTTCCACTCAGGGTTTTGGCTACACTCTGCCCTGGTGCAGGTAGTCTGACAGCTGTCCACAGAGGTGCCAGTGGCCACAGAATCCCAATCTCCTATTTCCAGGCAACAGGCTTTGGAAAGCCATGTGTGGCAGTAGGTGTGTGTGAGGGGGTATTCTCTACAGGTGACTAGATACATATTGGAGGCAGTCTTTAACTGACCTAGAGACCTATGGCCCAGGAGAGGCCAGATCACACTTACCCGCCGCGTCTTCTCCACATCACCACATGGCAGCCGCTTCACAAAATCAATGCCAGTCAGTGGAGTGCCCGTTGGGGGCAGGAGGATAGAAGCATCCATCATGAGATATTCCACATTCATGGGCTTTATCTAGGAGAGACAGACATCACAGGAAGCCTCAGAGAAGGGCCTACCTGTAGGCCTGGGTTAGACTGAAACTATGCTTCCAGTTTGCAAGATGAGTGGCAGGCCTTTTTCCTTCTCCCAAGTTGTGGGCTTTTCCCTTCATTTCAGCTAGGGGGCCCCAAGGCCACACAGTGCTGGCCTTCCTTTGTAGGACACATTAAACATGGCCATCTAGAGGCCTGAGCCCCTTTCTCATAATCCCTGTATTTCAGAGCAGGATGGCAGAGTCATGTTCCCACTCCAGGCTGCTCTTGGCATTGGCTTTCCAGCAGGGCCTTCTCACAGTACCCATTGGCTGAAACTGCAGATCCTCTCCAGGAAATTCCCTCCATTCTGCTACAGGGGTGGGAGACAGTAGTGAGCCAGGGCCCACTATCCCTTTAGCAATAACTCTGAGTTGCTAAGGGATATGAAAAGAGTCCGACTTGGAGATCTAGTTGCAGCCTGTCTCCTCCAAGTCCAAGAGCAGCATTCAGGACAACTTTACTTTAGTTAGCTCAGCCGCCAATATCTTAGGGGCAGCTAAGGACTGACTTCACTTGCAGAGACTGGGGTGTGTCACCTTAGTATTTCTGGAGAATGTCATGTATTGTGCAGCGGAACATACTATAAACACTGGAATAAAATAAGCAAACCTCAGAAAGCTTCCTGAGTGGGGTGGGGTGAGAAGAGGAGAGGAGAGGAGAGGAGAGGAGAGGAGAGGAGAGGAGAGGAGAGGAGAGGAGAGGAGAGAAGAGGAGAGGAGAAGAGAATACATTTTTTGCTTATGGGCTTTGCACAAGGCCTCCTGCTGGGTATTTCACATCTGGCTGGGGCAACTCAAAAGTGTGGGCCTCACTGCACAAATGATAGCCAGGCTCAAAATGTAAGTAACCTGCCCAAGACCACAGAGTTAAGAAGCAATAAAAGAAACATAACAGGGGCCAGAGTTCTGATTTTTCCAAATCATAAATAACATGTAGAATTTACATTTCCAAGCTGCAAAGGGTACTAAGGATGGCCAGACTAGTGGAGGGAAGATGAATACCCATAGGGATTGCCTACCTGGAACTGATGGTCTGAAGGAGAAAAGTCTGAGCTGCCCTAAGCATGGCAACAGGGGCTGTGTGGGCCAGTAAGGAGGTATGACTTTGAAAAGGTCCATTCATGTCTCAGGGGTGTAGTGTATAAAGATGTGGTGAAAGCAGCACAGACCTTAAGGGCCTCATTGAATAAACGGGACCTACTAAAGCTGAGAAGCTTCTGTAAAGCAAAGGACACTGTCACTAAGACAGAAAGGCAATCCACTGACTGGGAGAAGAGCTTCACCAACCCCGCAACAGACAAAAGTCTGATCTCCAAAATATATAGAGAACTCAAGAAACTAGACTTTAAAATGCTAATTAACCCAATTAAAAAATGGGGCACTGAACTGAACAGAGAATTCTCAAAAGAAGAAGTTCAAATGGCCAAAAGACACTTAAGGTCATGCTCAACCTCCTTAGCGATCAGGGAAATGCAAATCAAAACAACTTTGAGATATCATCTTACACCTGTCAGAATGGCTAAAATCAAAA